ACTCCTCCGATGCGGCTCCAGTACTTGGGCTTGAACGCTTTCGAGTCTACAACGAGGATGAATCGCGTATGGTGGCTGGGGGACAATGAAGGGAATTGTTCGCTGCACATGGAGCATGGTAGTTGAAGAACTGTCATCAAGGTTAGCAAGGCCACTCGAGCTGGAGAACGAGCAGATTCTCATACCTAATGTGTTTTATTTGATACCTTGCTCTTTGAGCGGCTGCAAGAGCGCGCTGAGGTCACTTGCATGAACCTGGTTGGTGTGTTTTTGTTTGCTTGCTGGACAAGCACAATTAGCTAGGTCACTAAAATCAGGGAATGAGTAGGGTATTCACAATTGGTGTGTTCTTGATGCTGCGCTCTTTGAGAGGTCGGCAAACCTAGGTGATCTTGATGACAGAGGAGGACGAGAAAAAAGGAACAGGGATGGGGATGGGGAGGGGGGTGCGTTGGGACATGATCGGCGGCGGGCAGGCCTCGCTCTGTGGGGGTACGCTTGGTGCCTGGCATTAGGGCTGAAGCGCTGCGCGAGACCCACTTTTCAGCTCGACTGCTCGCTTGCGATGAGGGCAAGCCCGTTGTTGCTGACGAGATAAACCGGTGCCTCACATCCAAAAGCTACCCTCTAGGGCGAGCGAATGCGTGAAGCAGAAGAAGTAGGAGAAGGGGCCTGGCTGGATAGCGATCCAAAGTCAGTCTTGACGGGATGCAACGGTCGGGTGCTGTGGAGCAAGCAGGGTCCATGGAAGGACTGAACCCACCAAACAGACAGCTACGTACTTTAGTAGATGTGTAGCTATCGTGGGCGTCGTTCTGGTCCGTCTGCCCTGTCGTTGAGCACATTCCATGATCATCTTCGTTACTGCCCAGTCAAGTACAGAAGAGAATAGGATGCAATGAGGTGGGTGCGCCCCTGAGATAATGGGAGCGACTTGTCATAGAAGCAAAGTGTAAAAGACATGGCGAATGAGGAAGCCAAAGAAGGTATGCAGTGGAGGTATGCGAGGGCGATGGTGAGAGAGCTGAGCATCCGTGCGGCGGCTGCGGAGTTGAATGCGAAAGTGTGGATCACGTGGTGAGGGGTCCGCGATTTCATGGCCGAACCCCCCTTCCGCGCGTTTGATTTTGTGGCCCCGAACAACGGTCCCTTGCAAGCGTTGGTTCCTGAAAGCTTATCTCCTCCAAATTCCAACGCAAGACACACCCCTCCCTCCACGTCGAATTATCCCCTTCATGGTAGGTCTTCTTAAAGGCTAAATCTTTTCCCCAGTTCTGGTGTCTGATTCCTCTAGTAGGGCCTCATAACAATAATTCAGAGCTAGCCCTCTCTTGCCGCCTGTACATGAATAGTTACGAGTCTCGAGCGACACTCGCGTTATGCATCCTCACCCTCAGGGTCCCAGGGATTCAACCGGTGATGAAGAAGATTCCGATATTGAAGACCAGAATGAGCCTGAGGGTTCTGATCGTGAGAGCTCCGACAACGACGATGCGAGTGATGATGGAAGCCATCAAGATTCTTCTTAGTGTTCACACCCCTGCCTATGTATTCCCCTCGCCGTCCCTGGCTTACTCCAACGGCGGCAAATCTTTCTTGGAAGATTACATGCGTCGATGCCAGTGGACAACGCTCTCTATTGCAATGGCATCACATAGCAATAAAGAATGGCCACAGGCTCTTCTCGGCCAGTTCGAGTAGAACCCAGAGAACATCGACAGCAGACACCCAAACGACTGCAGCGTGCTTGTTGAGGTACCGGGATCTCGCGCACAGTAGGTCGCAACCACGCAAGCAAATGCAGCCCATCGCAACTGGGTATTCGATAGGGTTCTTGTACTGCGACATGCCGCATTGGTCAACAGTAGAATCCAACCGCGAACTTCAAACAATGTGGAAAGGTAGCTATTGCGCGACTTCCGAGCCCCGTTGAAGAGAACTTGGTGAAGAACAGTCGGTTGCTTATACCATGGCCAAACTAAAAGCGCTCTCTTATGGCCCTGTCGCTGGTGCTAAATACGAATGTAGTAGCTCACGCTGCTCATAATGGAGCTCTTTCTTGTTCTTGGGCGCGTCTTCGGGCGTGGTGCATTTATTGTTATATTAGTGGAAATTTAGAGATGAGTTTAGGGACAAGCTTAGGGACAAGTTCAGGATGAACTTATTATTTCTCCTCTAATTTCATTAACAAAGATCTCCCTATGTTTACCTATACTCGTTTCCTTGTGCCTCTGATAGCAGCGGTAGTGAAGACTCTTGCTAATAGGTGCAGAGCCTTTGAGTGACGCTCAGGTGGGCATTATAGCCACGGGACCTGGTGACTGCAATGCCGTCGAAAATATTACAACCGATGGCGACCTTCCTACTGCTCCGGGTAAATTCGGTAGCTTTTTCGTTCCTAAGCCTACTAGTCGTCGCAAGTCAGGATCTGACGAGAAGCGAGACCGTCATGCTCCGTGGTGAGATGCGGCGTCTTTTAATGGACAGCGCCTGTAAAAATCCATGCGAATGGATCGAAAGATGCCAAAGGAATCATTGAGGACAACTCGTGTAGTGTTCAAGCCTCATCCACAAATACCAAGTCTGGCTTCAAGCTTAGGCGGGCTAAGGTACCACCAGCTCTAGCAGGTCTAGCGCCAACAATGCCTTCTTCCTGCAACAGGCAATCCTGGTAGAGGGTTCTAAGCCAGTCGCGAAAGGTCTGAAATTCAGTCGTGTCAAGAGCTTCGCCATTCTTCAAATACTTTACGTACTCGATCAAGTGAGGACACTTGTCAGGATTCTCCTCAAGGAAAATGAAAGAGCTTGCGTGTAGCGACTTAGAAATGCGACCGCGCTTAGACTTGCGCAAGGCATCGCGAGCATTGTGGATATCGAGAGAAAGGTTTCGCAAAGCAAACCCTGCCAGGAAGTGGTCCGACATTGTATTTGTTTCAGCCCCCGCTTCTTCCCGATCAAATGGATCAGGGTTTGCGACGTCGGGAGAAACTTTGCTTACACCAGCTCGGACCTCGCCATCCAGTGGGTAAATACGCGTGATAGGTGGCTTGTTCACGAAACCGAGGCTGGCAAAGGTGTTGGCAAACCGATCAACGAGGTTCTCAATTCCAACGTTGTGGTTCAACAGTCATAAGCTCTTGACCTTTGCGGGCTTTGCCTGTTTGAGGTCGACATCGCGTTCATGATGACCATACATGGCGCACAGAATGATGAATCCAGGACGAGCGGGGGGAGGGGTATAAGAGCCATCCGTTGGAGTAGGCCAGGGAGGTGAACGCGGAGAAAAGGTGGAGTAGGGGTGTGAACATTAAAGTATCTTGCCTAAATTTAGGATAAGACTTTAATGAGCTTATGATAACTTTAGGATATAATGTTAGTATGTCATCAATTTATCATAAAGTCATTCTAAACACATACCTAGACTTAAATGAGCTGTGCCTCATGTTCGTACTCTGCATCGGCGGAGAGTAGATCTGCGGGACTCAAAGTCCTACCCCACCGCCATTGATGATGTTTTGAAGGCCTGAAACCTGCTCAAGTAGGTTGATCTTGGGAGCTTCGTCGCTGTTGAAATCCGTGATGAACTTGTAGGCATTGATGCGCTTTTGTAAAGGTGGAGAGTAGGCAGAAGGTAGATGCTCTAGTGAGTTGACAGCGTACACTCCAATGCGAGTCGGCTTGTCCAAGTGTGCGAGCTTGATCAAATCTTAGTATGAGTTTAGGGTAAATCTGAGGATAAATTCATCCTAAACTCATCCTAAACACATACCTAGACTTTGATGAGATGTGCAGTCTTGTGTTTGGCAGTTTGTAAGCTCTTCGAGCTTCTTGATACTCGGTTCTGAAAGTGAGGCTGGCCATAACATCTCGTACTTCAAGAGTAGCTGCGTGACAGTAACTTCACCAGGCGCCTCTGGACTTCGTCATAATGTTTTGTATGGGAAATGCTTGATATGATCTGGATACCGGAAATCCTCATACTGGTCGAGGATGTCCTTTTAATAAAGTTTGCTCGCTTGGCATGCTTTGTGATGCTCTGTTTTTTCGAAGTGTGAGCGAGGTCACAAGGATGAAAAGAGGGCAGAAAAGGGATGAAATATCACTCACTCTCGTTATCTCAGCACGCAAGAAGGATGCTGGTATGATCTGGATACCGGAAATTGTCATACTGTTCGAGGATGACCTTGTGAATGGGGAGCTGCGCAAGGCATTAGCGACAAGAGAAAGGAGTCTATTGTTGCTTCAAAGACGATGATTTATGCTGCTCGTTGCTGCGCTGGTGCCAACGCCGAGCGCTGTTGAAGGAAAAAGAGTGTCGAGGAGGGACTCGCGGAGTATCGGCAACGGGAGTCAACTCATGTTGACTCGATATCACCGAAGCCTGACTCCTCTGATCCAACAGATACTGAGTGAAGAGGAGGAAGAGGAAGAGGAAGAGGAGGACGAATAGCATGTACGGTAGAAAAGAAAGCAAATATTTTTCGGCGCAGCAGGAAAGAGAAGTGCGCGTGGGATGGAGAGAGCGCAGGCTACCTACCTGGGTCGAAGTCGCCGGTGCCTTGCCACTGCCCGCCAATTTCTCAACGCCCAGGTCCAAACTTTAACGCATATGTACCTGTCTTAATCCCCGGGGCTCCAGTTCCATCGGCCAAGTATTCTGGGCTAGGTTTTTGGCCGTTTTGACATTGGCACTGGCTGTGGTTGGAGGGCCGTGGGTGGGCAAACTTCAGGGGGACTATCCAATATCACGCAAAAGAATACTCATTGTGATCAAGCTTTAGTTCTCAAAGGACCAAAAACTTGTTTTTAGATCAATACTCTCGAAAATAGGCATTTCAAACATTGCATAGGTAACTTCAATCCACCTTGGTAAAGAGTATCTGCAGTAGTCACCCACAAAGGCTTCCATCCTTCAGGGGAACTGTCAGCTAATAAAAAAGGCGAGGACAAGAAGAAATAAAGTTCCAGATGGATCTTTCAAAAATGCAAAAAAAGAACCGTAGCAATTGCACGTTTCGATCGTGCGACCTCCGGGTTATGAGCCCGGCTAGTTCTGTTAGTATCGTTGCTAACTGATTCTCAGAGTCAGAGTAACTTACCGCGCTTCCACTGCGCCAAATTGCTTTCTTGGGTGAAAGTCTTCCTCGTAATTATAATAGATATCGTACGACCTGTGAGTCATGTGGGGACGGGACCCCAGGTGACCCAACGCCGCACACAACTAAGCCTTGTTTTCGGGAATAAACAAAATGCCGTTTGTGAATAAACTGATTTGTTTTCTTCGCATTGCTTAGTCTTGTTACAGAGGGCAATCTGATGATGGGCTGACATTAGAAGGCCGATTTTCACCCAAGAAAGCAATTTGGCGCAGTGGAAGCGCGGTATGTCTCTTCACACTCTCCTCACAATCCAGTTAATACTAACGAGAATTCCAATAGCCGGGCTCATAACCCGGAGGTCGCACGATCGAAACGTGCAATTGCTAGGTGTTCTTTTGGTTCATCTTATGCTTGTAGTAATCCTTTTTTGGTTTGTTCCAGATGAATCCGTGCTGTTGTTCAAGTTATGTCCTTAGTGCGTGAGAGACAAGCTTCTCTCTTGCACCTATAAATATGCCACCCCGTCCACTCTAACACGCATTCACCATTGCTTTCTACCTACCATATTTTAGCCAAAACTAAGCTGGATGGCCGCGGCAACTTACCAAGACCTCTGTCTTCTGAGGATGGCCGTTATAAAGGATCTGACGCTTCCAACGAATCAACTGCAACACGTTACACTCTAGAAGAACTTGGGGCTTAATTCGTCAACTTCTATAATTCCTCACCACACTCTATTGTGACTAAGCTCATCTGAAAATTCCACCTCCTGATGGATGGCCTTAGATGAAGGGTATGGGTATGATGCTAATCGCAACATTAAACTCGGGAACGATATTACGCAAAAAGGGTTGATGAGTTTGTGAGTGTCGTCACTCAAGAATCTTTGCAGCACGAGTCACAGCCGGGTGCTGTGGTTTAAACCAGCAATTTACTCCGGTGAATTGAATACATGCTCCGTGCTGCGCAACTCGTTTGAACGAGCCCCAACTTGAGAAGACATAAGCCGAATTATATGAAATAAAGCGGGTGCCATTCTCAAAAGACTCGGACTTGACAGCCTTTGATATTTTGCTTGTCGTTAACTTGCTTATGCTAAAACTTATTTAGTATCACTAAAACTTATACCAAAATAAGTAAAAGCTTAGGACGAGAAATCATAATTTCATCCTCAAGTATACCCTGATTTTGCATGAGCGATTGGTGGTCGAGATGGTCTGGCTAGCGATGAGAGTATTGACGAAGTTCAGGAAACATGTAGACCATCTACAACAGAGGCTACCTCATAATACCTACCTGATGATCAACCTACTTGAATATAATCTTGGCCCTGGACCCGTCGTCGATAACGATGACTCGAGTGATTCGCAACACGTTGCCGCAGCATGAATAGACCAATGCAGGCTTGTTTCCAGCGTATGGTGAAAATTTCAACCGGTATACATTTCATTTGCTGACGTTGTAGGATGCGGAGAGTCATCCATGGTTGAGTGCGAAATCTGAACGGCCCATTGGCATCCTCACCATGACAGCACCTCGCCCTCTAGTACCAACAGATTTCAAGGCGCTTTCGCGGACGAGAACACCGCAGTGGAAGAGCTTTGCTCGTATTATATTAAAGTATCATGATCTGAGCTTTGCACAAGACAACATGCCTGGTCGACGTCACATCTGGAATGAGGTTGACTCTGCAAGACAGCTTCTTTGATAAAACAATCGTCGGAGTCATAATTTCGTCCTAACTCATATCTAAGTTTATCCTAAATGTAGGATAACATACTAATGCATAATTAACTTTTGCCCCAAGGTCTGTAAGATTTTGTCAAAATTTGTCAATTGCCGTCGTCCACCTTAGCAACAGCAAGCAGTTGCACAGACGAAGGAAACGTGCCGCTCATTGCTGGCACTGGCAAACAACGATCCCTACTCGTCCATTCGACTGCCTAGGTAACCTTCAAGGTTCTCTCCGGTTTCTTTGTTCTCTCTTTACCTATTTTCTCTTGTCCTCTCTATTATCTTTTCTCTCACTCCCTCCCCCTTCTTCCTCGTTTTCGCTTCGTCAGTATCTCCCTCCTCAGTCTTGCTTTGCACATCACAAAGCATGTATCTTGATATATTAGCATTTGTATACTCCTCCATAAAGCTCTGTTTAGCCTGTCGCCTGAGAGATGCTGTGACGCGCAATATCATCAAGTGGAACCTCACCTTTGCGCTGATCCTCTCTTCGTCTTTCTTCCTTCAAATCTTATTTCACGGAGGCCCTTTAACTTCGGCTCGCGGTATTCAATTCTCGCATTCATCGTTACCTGAAGGCAAGTAACTATGTGTACCGCGAAGCATGGCATAGACTTTACTAACCGCCTACTTCTATAGGCCCGCGACAAAGCATTTTGACCACCCTAGAACGACCACTGCTATACCATTCAGCAAGGTAAGTTTGAATACATCCCATATATTGTTGTACTAACTGACTCGTTCAGGATTACCGCTATAATTCTGCCTGGAGGATCGTTTCCCGGAGCGCGCAAGGGGATCGAGCATCTTACCAAGATGACCGAAGATTGCCTTGGTAAACGGGTGAACTTGATTCAGTACGTCAAGTACTACATGGACTTGTGCGAACAGCATAAAAACAACGAAGTTGATCTTCCACGGGGTGAAAAAGACATCCTTGCGGCCTGTGCTGTCGCTCGCGAGGCCTCGAACAACTACGAGTCTGTCGCTCTCCGATTGCCCATTGTCCCCGGGTGGCATAGTTGCCGCGAACAACTGTGCCAACTGTCAAGCTTACTTGCTGGCCTTTACGACAAGTTCTTCAAGGTTGCTGACAACATGATCAAGCTCTGCGACGATGCCAAGCTGTCCCTAATCCGAGTTCGTGACCTCATGAGCGTACTCATTGGGCAGCCTAAAAGATTGTCTTAAGATGATGGGTTGGAGCTCCCCCACCAACGTTCTCGCTGACTACGACAAGTGCTGCATTGTGCCGGACAAGCACAAAGACATGCTGCGAGGACCTTGAAGAGTGGCTTACTGTACCACCTAAAGTTCGTAGGCCGGAAAACAAGATCCCGCCAGAAGAAATTTTTATCAACATATGCGAGCATCTTTTGGGCAAGATGCTGCATGCAATGCATCCTGATGTGCGGTCATTGAACGGACATTGAAAAGGGGGCTACACTCATCTGGATCGTCCAAAACCAGTGCACGACAAGACAGTATCAGACAGAAAAGGGCTGTCATGGTGTATTCTATTCCTCAAGGTGTTTCCATTGTTGCGTGACTTCTATATCCCTGGAATGGAAGCGCATTGTCATCTCTATTGTTCACAGTAGTCAAACATGCCCAACTTTTGGTCGAAAAGGCATGCTGCAATGCGCGACAACTGCTCGTAATACCTGGATTCAACTCGATCCTCAACGACCAGCACTTCTGGCGATCAACTCAAAAGATAGAACTTCGAGTTCCGCAGAACTACTCTATGCTGCGATTGATGAGCTATTGTACAGCGGTTTGATGAAGCCGGCAATTCGCGACAACGACGAGTGGAAAGAACCGGTACGCAACATACATACTTGAAAGTTTCAAAACATATATACATATATATATCCAACTGCCTATGAGCAAAGGCACTGTCTTGGTCGAGCTTCCAGGTTCCAGGACATCGGAGGTGAACCACTCCCAGACGAACAAGGTTCGTCGCAAGTACCTAGACGCTTCAGCGCCATCCATTTTCAGGGCGAGTGCATTCGGGAGGCGACTTGCTGCACCCTTGACGAAGCACAAGGCGATGAAGCCGACATTGTCTTCTTCGACTTCGTCCTTACTGGCAACCCTGGATTCATCACTGCAAACTTCCGGGTCGCTCTGGCATTGAGCCGAGCTCGTGTCGCCACTGCCCTCTTGCTGAACCGAGGTACATTCTCTGGTTGGGAAACAAAGCAGCATACCCAGCAGAGAGCACTTCAACTCTTCGGTGTGCACGATCACCATGAGAAGCATGGACTGATAGTTCGTGTTTGGTGCTGCGAGAAGGAACCTACGCCTAACCCCGATCTTCACTGCCTGCGAGCCAGCTGTGGACAAAATGGCCATCTCGCTGACAATTGTCCATTGCAAGAGCTGGCATCTATATGATTCCTTCGCGCTTCACAGCCCATACGCACGGGTCTTCGCCGGTGATTTGCGCCAGGAGTCACCACATGTCACCATGGAACACAATGTGGGATCGGGCAAGATCACATCTAATTTGTTTTCCGAACAACTCGGACTCCCACTGATGGCCCGTGCAGTCGAAGCTGGTGTGACTAACGCCTTGTTAAGGTACCAGGATCTCGCACACAGCAGGTCGGAACTATATAAATGAACCCGGTCCATCGAGCATGGGTGCTTGAGAAGGTTCATGCACTGCTCTCAAGTGCTCTCACTGGTCTCGGCGTCAACCATAACAAGCCTATCAACGTCATGATGATTGCCATGTACAAAGGCCAGGTCGTCGAGTACCATAAGAACATTCGGCGTATGATTGACGAGAGAAAGCTTCCTGTGACTTCTTCAACCGGGTCAAAGTCAAGACTGTCGATGGTGCACAGGGTGATGAGACAGACTTTTTGTTTATCGACATGGTCAACGCCAACTACACTGGCCGTATTGATGAAGGTGGTGTGAAAGGTGATCGGGCGTGCTTGCGTGACTGGATGGAAAGCAGTAAACAGGATGGCAATTAATAGTTTAGACGAATTTCCAAAGATCTCAGGGCTATTTTGGATTATATATTAGTATATTATCCTAAACTTTGGATGAACTTCTTTCTCTCTCCCCTAATTTCATTCACAAATATCTGGTCGTCGGCGATTTTAAATGCCGCTTCAAGTATCCCTATATAAGTTTATGTCTCATGGTACGGGCGATTCCCTGACCAAGGGGCTAGATCTGCCTTTGGTCCCCCTTGTGTTGTTGCTATCCCACTGGTCATAATCCTCAACTTTGAACTCAAACAAACCACTTCCTGGACGCTCCTCCACCGCTCTTATCCTCCTCTTTTTGCCCTCATTATGGTCTAAATCCATCAACTTTGTCGTTCTAGCGATCGATGAGAATGTCATCTCGCGAAGCTCATCTATTCCATCATGCCGCATAGCTCTGAATCCACATGCCACCGCTATAACTGCAATAGCGAACGACGCTGCATACACGAATACAAGGATCGACCAATGGTAATGAAAATAATTGGCCGTGCGACTACGTATACACGGGTATTTCGTATCGGGCCCGCCTTTGCCTCTGCCGGAGAGTTCCTCTGGATGGGAAGCCCACGCCACAGCGAGAAGTAACGGATCTGAAAGTAGAGATATGAGCAAATCCTCATAGAGAGTGCGCACTGCCT